GAGGGAGGAAGGGGCCTGTGTACCCTGTGTCACCTCCCACAGGGGACATTCTGGAAGGCACCTGGAGGGCTGATCCAGCCTGCATTTGGAGGCAGCCCTGTTCMAAGGGCTCTGCCATCCCACCTTCCCAGTATGGGACTGGCTCCAGCTTGGTGTCCCAATGCTCTGGGGGAGGTACTAGGTTTCTGTGCTCCCTGTGCAGATTGCCTTCCAGGCAGGGAGGCTCCATCAGGGGACGGGTACTGCTTGGAAAACAGACCCTGGCTCCAGTTCATYCCATGTAATCCTGCTATGGGAACAGCTGTTCCAGAGGGCAAGGAGCTGCTTGGTTCCTGGCTCAGTCCTTAGGTGCATGTGTTTGTGTAAAGGGGTACGAGGAGCATAAGGGTGGGGTAGAAATGCCAGGGCATGGAGAGGAAATGAACAGCTTACATTATAATATCTTTTCTCTCTGCTCCTCTGCCAGTGCTGACGGGGTCCCGTTCCTCATGCATGACGACGAGCTCACCAGGACCACCAATGTGCAGGATGTGTTCCCCAACGAGACATCCTTGAACAGCACTGCCTTCAACTGGACACAACTCCAGCAGCTGGATGCTGGCAGCTGGTTTCTGAAGGTCGGGAATGCCCTTTGGGCAGCTGGTCAGGAGCGGGTGCATTTTTGGGTGAAGCATTAGCCCTGCCCTGGGGCTCCAGCACCTTCCCTCTGGAGCTCTGGTGCTGGCAGACAGCTGGACAGGGTGCAGGAGCCTGCACAAATCGCTTGGGTGCCGTTATGCCCCAAGCTGGGGTTGGTTCTGTTCCTCAGCTGAGTCACGGAGGAGGCTGCTCTGACGGGAGATGGCTCCTGTTTGCTCTGAGCTGCACAGCCTGCCTGGGCTTGAAGGCAGCTGTGGCAGGGCTCTTCCCAAAAGGTGACTAACTGCTGCTGAGCAGCTCTAAATGCCCACAGGTGTTGGGGCTGCTGGAATTCTGCTGTTTGTGGGCAGAAGGGTAGAGGTGCTCCATGGATGTGCATAGGGAGGATCCCTAYGCCTGTCAGCACTGGAGAGCACATGGAGAGGCCATAGGAAACTGAGAGTCAGAGACAGGCACCAGGGTGGGATGTGGAAGCCTGCAGGTGCCCTGCCTGTGGTGACTGCCCCTTTCTCTCCTGCAGCGGAAGCCATTCCCCACCGTGCAGAGCCTTTCTGCTGAGGATCGCAATGAGACAGCCGAGCAGAGGATCCCATCCCTGGGACAGGCTCTGGAGGCCGTCAAGCAGAGCAACATCTCCATCATGTTTGACCTCCGGCCTGAGAACCACAGTGACTACCAGAGCTTTGTCAATGTCACCCTGGCAGTGATTTTACAGTCAGGCATCCCGCTGCAGCAGGTGAGCTGGTCACCACCCCAGCCCTGTCACACCCCTGTCGTGGTGTGCAGCCACACTGAGTGTCCCTGACACCATAAGTGATCCCTGCTGGGCAGCCCTGCCCAGGTGAGGGGTTCTGTAGCTGGGAGAAGTTGCCAGTAATTAGGGTTTAATGCCTACAGCCTCAGACCCCTCCAAACACTTTGGTTTCCCAGCACTGGCCACGCGGGTGTGTAAACACTGACTCAGTCTAGGGAGGGGACCAGCCCTGCCAGCTGAGTTTCCACCTCTCCACACTCCACCACACCTCTCCCTGCAGCTCTGGACTCCTGCTGCACCCTCCTGTGTTCGCTTTGTGCTTCATCCAAGCCCTGCAGCACAGGATATGTGCTGCCCTTAGGGGATGAATCAGCACTCAAATTACCTTTCTTGGCCTATTGAGAATGCAGAGCAGGAGGGGTCACAGAAAAGAGTTTTACTGTAGTGCTGATCCAAGGTGCATTCTTGCTGCARTTGGGGCTAAGATGGATTCACTTCTTGATCCATTCAAGGACACAGAAAGGACATAACTGTTGCAGATTTCCTAGGCTGGATCTGCTTTTTCCCTTCAGTGGGACTTGTTGTGCTTCTTGGCTGGGGCAAGCTGTTAGGAGWCTGTCCTGGCTGAGATCCTCACGAGGAGCTGAGCGTGGAGATGGGGGCAGGAAGCAGCTGTCCAAGCAGGCCCTGTGTGCCTGGACCTGCGAGGAAATACTGCAAGAGAGCAAACTCTCTGGAGCACTCCTCCCCTGCACRTGCTCTCTGGTTTGTGCCTAGGTCCTTTGGCTTCCAGATGGGTTYAGGGAGCTGGTCAAACAGCAGGCCCCAGGTATCCAGCAGGTCTAYGGCCGGAAGAGACTCAAGAATGAGAAGGAGCCACTACTGCAYGTCAACCTGCCTTACCAGGACATGAGCTCTGAGGAGATCAGGTGAGAGCCCTTTGTCCAAGTGCCTGGGAGCTGTGGGGGTCTGGGCAGAGGTGAGGGGGCTGGGAAGGGCTGGGTGTGYGCCTTGGGGACAAGTGTCCCCACCAGGCACGGCTGGTGCACAGGATGGAGCTGGCTGTGGTACTCTGCCTTCCAGCAAATGTGTCCTGGGTCTGGATCTCCAGAAAGCTGCTCCACAYGGCTGCAAATGCTGGGTCATAGCCCAGATGTGCAGCCCTCTCTGGCTGTGCAGGGTGTGGTGGCAGCCTGCTGTKTGCTGCTCTGACCACGGCTGTCCCCGTGCAGGCAGTACCGCCAGGACAACATCTCTGTCAACCTGTACGTGGTGAACCAGCCCTGGCTCTTCTCTGTGCTCTGGTGCTCAGGGGTGAGCTCTGTCACCACCAAYGCCTGCCAGGTGCTGAAGGAGATGGAGCACCCCATCTGGCTGCTTGTAAGTGATCCCTGGCTCCTTCATCCTGCCCCAMAGCCCTGTGTCCCAGRCACTTGTGGGTCCCTTTCTGTACAKCTGYCTGGAAGGGTGAATTCTGCTCACTGCCATCGTGGCATGGGCAGATGTGACCCTGTAGAAGGGACTGGTGGCACAGCAGGCAGGGCTGTGCCACAGCTCACCACCCCTAGCTGGTGTTCAGTAGCTTTTCTCGTTGCCTTGCAGCCCAGTAGCACATACCTCATGATCTGGGTTGTTGCAGACTGTGTTTCCTTCCTTATCATCCTCTGGGCCTTCTTCTTGCTGAAGTAAGTTGGATCCCTTTCCCCCTCCCAAGGTCTGTTGRGGGAGGGAGGTTGCACTGTGCCCTGCGTGGCTGGTACAGACCCACACCTGGTCATAYCTGCTGCCACCCCTCTTTGGACTCAGATCCTGGGGGGTCCTCTCCTGTCTGGCCAAGACAGAAGTGTGTGGAGGCAGCTTTATCTCCAGGCTGCAGCTAAAAATCTGCCCTGACCCTGCCTCAAGCTGCTGGATGCCTCAGTTCCCCCTTCCTAACCTGCTCTGCACCCCAGGCTCGCTGGGATGAGGCTGGGGACTCTGTTCCTGCTCCTTTTCTACCAGCACTGAGAGCAGTTCCCTCTGGGACTGTGGGGCCCCACAGCCTCCAGCTGGCAGCTCAGGGGAGGGAATGGTGAGACCAGCCTTGCATGCTAACATCGATCCTATTCCATCTCCTAGGAAATGCTCCCACAGAAGGCGGCCAGCGGGTGAGTGCGCATGGAGGGAGAGCTTCCCTCCCTTGGAGCCAGGCTCTCCCTGACGGGCAGGCAGCTTTCTCCAGCCAAACGTGACCGATCGGTTTGGGGTGGCTGGAGGAGGGGAGGGGAGGGCAGGGAATCCCAGCCCTGGGAGTTCCTCCTGCCTTGCCCTTAACAAACAGCCCTGTGGGAAGGCACTAGGGAATCCCACATTCCCCAAGTATCCTAAACCTGCTTTTCAGGCTGCTCCGCCTGTCGCTGCGGGATGGTGGCTGCCCACAATGACTGCTTTTTCTGTGTCTCCTCAGAGTCTGAGACGGATGTGCTGCTCACAAAGATCAACAGCTTGATGCAAGAGTGACCCCTGTTGCCTGCGTCAGCCGTGGGGAGGGGCAGSCAGCCCTGCACAGCTCGAGCAGGGAGCATTCCTCAGGCTTCGAGGCTCCTTTCCTTTCCAGACTCCTTCCTGAGCCTCCCTTCTCCCGTGGCCTTCCTGGCTCCTTTCACGGTGCACAGCTGCCCTCAGCTGAGAAGACTTGGAACTGGGTTCTCATTTCCCACTGGCAGCAAGGAACTAAAGCTTCGCAGGGGTTGCCTGGGGGCAGAGTATTTACCCAGCAGTGCTGGAGCTGAGAGCTCTCCCAGGAGCAGGGATTTGGGTGGCTGTTTGGTGCAGGGGAAGGGCTGCTTCCTTGGGGGCTGCCCTGTCCCGTGGCTTGAGGAATAGGAAGCGGGGTGTGGAGTAGCTTTGCACAAAACAAGGGGGAAGCCGAGCTCTTCACCCTCCCATCCTGGACAGAAATCCTGTCTCTCCTGCTGCTGGCTTCATGTTTAYGGGACAGGGTCCTGGCACTCCATGCAGCAGTTCACGCCTGTTGCACGGCGGAGATRAGSAGCGGGGSTGRGGKTGRTGGGTGTCAGGGGCTGGCAGGACCGCGCTCACGCTCCTGCTGTTCCGAGGCTGCAGAGGGAGCGGTGGGGCTCGGCATCCGTCACATTGCGGCAGGGCCTTGAACAGGGACAGGGGCATCGTGTCACTTTGACTTGTTGCTGTCTATTTATGTCAATAAAGCAGMGGAGCGGCAGACAGACCCCGCGGGGGTGCGGCGGGCACGCCTTGGTCCTCCCTTGCGCACCTTTCCCTGCCGGCGGCGCTGCCGGCCCGGAGAAGGAGCCGCGCAGCCCGGACGGTACCGGCCCGGGGCGGGCTCGTTCGCGGCGCCTCCGTGCCCTCTACCGACGGCGCGGGGAAGCGGGGCCGGCGCCGGGCGCTCGGCGGCGGGCAGGGAGGGGAGGCCGAGCCGGGCGGGGC